AGATGACAAATCTTCCTACTAAAAATGACAAGTCTTCCTACTGTCAGTCCCTGCATTGGTTTCCAGTTAGATATAGGGCTCAATTTAAAATTCTGGTTCTTGCTTACAAGTCCCTACATAATGCTGCTCCAACCTACCTATCCTCCCTAATAGACAAGTATGTCCCGTCAAGGCCCCTATGCTCTGTCCATACTCCCACCTCTAACGCTCGCCTCCAAGACTTTTCCAGGGCTGCACCTCTTCTATGGAACTCCCTTCCCTTCTCCGTAAGAATTTCACCCAGTCTCCACTCATTCAAAAAATAATTGAAAACTCACTTCTTCAAGAAAGCATATCAATTAAACTGTTATCCCCCCACCCTCCATGACTCCTCTCCTGCAACTGTCAAAAATTACCTACTAAGCTCTCAGTGAATACTTTTCTAACAACCTACTTTGTACCCCTACTTTTACCATTTGTGTCCCTATACCCCACTCCCTCTAGAATGTAAGCTCATTGAGCAGGGCCCTCCACCTCTCTGTTCCTGTACGTCCAGTTATCTGGTTTCAATTAAATGTCTGTTAGTCCACCCATTGTACAGCGCTACAGAATCTGATGGTGCTATATAAATAATAATAATAAAAATGACTATATAACTATATCACACACACACAGAGAGCTACACAATACCACATTCCCTGCTACACACACCCTACACATGCTGCTACTTACACCAACTCTGCAATGCACACTATTAAACTGCCTACTATGCACTCACTGTTACACACAAACACTGCTACACATACTGACACACAGATATATGCAAACATACAGACGTACGCAACTACACAGAAATACGCACACATTGCTACACATACAATTTATCTAGACACACAGACATATGTATACATTGACACAGATACACATATATGCACTGTATATCTGTGTATATAAACAATGTTTTAATTATATAATCAATCTTTGTAAAGATCTTGATTAAATTTGATTATCATCAAGCTGTTTGTAAAGAGGTGGGGTGTTAAGAATTCTCTTACTATAGGCATTCGTAATGTTGGATCCTGCTCAGAGGTTCTATTTCAGAAATCAGAAATTTCTGATTATTTCTAGCATAGTAAGCTCTAATATACAGTTGCAAGAAAAAGTATGTGAACCCTTTGGAATGATATATGGATTTCTGCACAAATTGGTCATAAAATGTGATCTGATCATCATCTAAGTCACAATAATAGACAATCATAGTCTGCTTAAACTAATAACACACAAAGAATGAAATGTTGCCATGTTTTTATTGAACACACCATGTAAACATTCACAGTGCAGGTGGAAAAAGTATGTGAACCCCTTTAATAATGACATCTCCAAGAGCTAATTGGAGTGAGATGTCAGCCAACTGGAATCCAATCAATGAGATGTTGGTTACAGCTGCCCTGCCCTATAAAAAAAACACACACCAGTTCTGGGTTTGCTGTTCACAAGAAGCATTGCCTGATGTGAATGATGCCTCGCACAAAAGAGCTGTTGACTTGCAAAAAGCTGGAAAGGGTTATAAAAGTATCTCCAAAAGCTTTGCTGTTCATCAGTCCACGGTAAGAGAAATTGTCTATAAATGGAGAAAGTTCAGCACTGCTGCTACTCTCTCTAGGAGTGGCCATCCTGTAAAGATGACTGCAAGAGCACAGCGCAGACTGCTCAATAAGGTGAAGAAGAATCCTAGAGTGTCAGCTAAAGACTTACAAAAGTCACTGGCAAATGCTAACATCCCTGGTAGCAAATCTACAATACGTAAAACACTAAACAAGAATGGATTTCATGGGAGGAAGCCACTTCTGTCCAAACAAAACATTGCTGCATGTTTACAGTTTGCAAAAGAGCACCTGGATGTTCCACAGCAGTACTGGAAAAATATTATGTGGACAGATGAAACCAAAGTTGAGTTGTTTGGAAGAAACACACAACACTGTGTGTGGCGAAAAAAAGGCACAGCACACCAACATCTAAACCTCATCCCAACTGTGAAGTATGGTGGTGACGGATTGCTTTCATCGAAGGAAAAATTAATTCCCAAGTTTATCAAGACATTTTGCAGGAGAACTTAAGGCCATCTGTCTACCAGCTGAAGCTCAACAGAAGATGGGTGTTGCAACAGGACAATGACCCAAAGCATAGAAGTAAATCAACAACAGAATGGCTTAAACAGAGGAAAATATGCCTTCTGAAGTGACCCAGTAAGAGTCCTGACCTCAACCCGATTGAGATGCTGTGGCATGACCTCAAGAAAGCGATTCACACCAGATATCCCAAGAATATTGCTGAACTGAAACAGTTCTGTAAAGAGGAATGGTCAAGAATTACTCCTGACCGTTGTGCATAGAAACATAGAAACATAGAATGTGACGGCAGATAAGAACCATTCGGCCCATCTAGTCTGCCCAATTTTCTAAATACTTTCATTAGTCCCTAATGCACGTCTGATTTGCAACTACAGGAAACAATTTGTGCAGAAATCCATATCATTCCAAAGGGTTTACATACTTTTTCTTGCAACTGTATTTAATACATATGGATTGTAATCCTGATGTTATTTATTTTTTAAAGTACCCCTAGTTGCACAGTAATCCCCTTAAATTTCATAATTACAACAGTTTATTTTAATGTATTTGTGAAACATTTGAACCTTTATTTTTTTTTTCTCCTGTCATACTTGATAATAGAGAATGATCTCTCTACTCATTAAGAGAAATTATAAAGTTTTTGCATTACCTAGAGCAGTGACATTTATTTCTGTGATGTCCAAATCCTTATAATAAAAAATGTCATAGGAAATTATTTTTGAAGGTCATTTGTACAACCATTTTAAGTCCAATTGATAAAATGTGCGCCTACAGTTATGTCTTTGTATATCATGCATTAACTCATTGCCTACTTTCAAAATGTATTATGAGATGAGACCCTAACCTTTTGTATGGATGTATGTGCCCCAATTTAATTCAAGCTTATTGCAACAATTTGTTTGGAAATTACAATATGTACTAAAATCTGATTAATCTCCAAAGTGTCTACATTTCAGGAACGCAGTCTGGCTTAATGCCCAGTCACTGTAAATCTGTACATGTTGTACAGAAGCAATAGTACTGAAATATAAACGATAGCAGTAAAAAGAAAATGACATTTTAGTTGTGCATGTGGCTTAAATAAGCTCTGTAATAGGTATCACTTGCAGTAATACACTGATCAGCCACAACATTAAAACCACTGACAGATGAAGTGAAAAACATTACTTATATCATTACAATGGCACCTGTCAATGGGGTGGAATATATTAGGCAGCAGGTAAACAGTCAGTTCTTGAATTTTATGTGTTGGAAGAGGGAAGAAAATGAGCAAGAGAAAAGATTTGAGTGACTTTGACAAGGGCTAAAGACTTATGGCTAAACACTTGGGTCAGAGCATCTCCAAAACGGCAAGTCTGAGTATTTTCAGTATGCAGTAGTTAGTACCTACTAAATGGGGTCCATTGAAGGACAACTGGTGAACTGGTGTCAGAGTCATGGATGCCGAAGGCTCATTGATGCACATAGGGAGCACAGGCTAGCACGCCTAGTCGAATCACACAGAATAGCTACTGTAGCTCACATTTCTGAAAAACGTATTGCTGACCTTGATAGAAAGGTGTCAGAACACACCATGCATTGCAGTTTGCTGCATATTGGGCTGCAAAGAATCAGATCAGTCAGAGTGCCCATGATGATCCCTGTCCACCACCGAAAGCTCCCACAGTGGAGACATGAACATCAGGACTGGACCATGGAGAAATGAAAGAAGATTGTCTGCTCTGATGAATCACGTTTTCTTTTAGATCAGGTGGATGACTGTGTGAGCGTGCATCATTTACCTGATAAAGAGACGCTTTCAGGGACAGATTAGGAAAGAATTCTGCAAACTAGTACATTAGTGGGGTGTACTTCATATCTGAGAGTCAAATAGAAGCATCAAATACTGCTGTCACATTGCAGTTTTAAAAATTAAAACATTTTGGGTGCTAAAAAGTACATTAGTGGGGTGCACTTCATATGTGAGAGTCAAATAGAAGCGTCAAATAGTGCACTTACAGCGCAGTTGTAAAAATTCTTATTTTCTGGGTGCTAATCTGCTAAATAGTACATTTTGGGTGGGCTCTTCATATCTGAGAGTCAAATAGAAGCATCAAATACCAATATAACAATATTGTAATTTGGGGGCAATACCCTTACAACTCAAACTGAGAGGTCAGTTTATAGGGAAAACTGTTGCCTGGATACAATTCTAAAACAATTTCCATATGATGATGTGGGTGGAAGATGATGTGGAGGATGATGCGGTCCTAGACCCCACATGGAATCACGGTCATGTGAGTGACGTGTGCAGTTTGAAGGAAGAGGCGCTGGTCTCACAGAGGCACCAGCACAGCATAAGGGGGAGCAGGGTGCAAAAGCGGAGCGGCCGTTCCCTAGCGCTCGTCTGCATTTATTATCTAGAATTCCCACAGTTATCCAAGTAACAAAGCGATAAAAGGAACAATAACAGATTTAACAAGCCATTCGTAGTCTGGTGACTGGCACCCAGATACTGTCTCTGCGGCGGTTGGACAACCAGGACCCAGTATGCCTGATGTTGAAGTTAGGAGTCACAGTGTGGAATGGATTAGGAGGGTCTGGTGCAGGGTAGCCACATGCCCCTTGGTGTTGAGCACCAGCATTTGTGCAGCCACATACCATGACCCTGATGCAGCTTCAGTAATTTGAGAGATTGACCCATAAGCAATCACCAGACTGACCCGCAACTTGGAACATTCACTGTAGCAGCTGTGCGCGCTTTCGGCGTTCTTACCCTGCTGCTGCTCGCCTGTCTGCGCTGCAGCATAACTTTGGCCTTCCCGCTCACCGCCTCATATGCGACGTGCCCACAAGGTGGAACTCCACCTTGCACATGCTGGAGAGACTGTGCGAGCAGCAGCAGGTGATAGTGGAGTTTCAGCTGCAGCACGCACAGGTCAGTTGCTCTGCACCAGATTTGCCCTCCAATTGATCAGAGTTAAAGGATTTCAAGTGGACTTATTACTCTAAAGATTCCTGTATTGTTATTTGTCGTCACTACCTCCCTCCGTCGAGAGTGGGTCATTTGCGCGCCTGCTGCCTTCCTTGCATGTGGTAGCCATTTGTCAGGGCCCCTGTATGGGTGGCCCTTGTGATGCCACGGTGTATACCTAGTTTATATCAGAGCTGCTTCAGAAAGTGCAGGCCGTCTGCGCGCTTCCGGCGTTCTCACCCTGCTGCTGCTCGCCTGTCTGCGCTGCAGTGTAACTTTGGCCTTCCCACTCACCGCCTCATGAGACTGTGCGAGCAGCAGCAGGCGATAGTGGAATTTCAGATGCAGCACACACAGGTCAGTCGTTTTGCGGAACAGTTTTCTTTTTTTATATGTCCCAATATTTTGGGGGCTACCACAATTAAAACAAATTTTTTTTTAATATATATATATATATAGTTGGTTACCTCCTCCACTGCTGCGTCCACCTACACTGTCACGGTCACCGCCTCCTCAACCCATGGGTCACTTAGTATAAACTATGTACACAATAGCAGAGGCTTGTGAAGGCCTTTTCTCCATGCATCAGAAGTTGTGCTCAGTTTGAACAATGAAAGAGAATACCCTGCACTCCAACCCTCTCACAAATGGATAATTCTGGTGATCCAGACATGCTTTAGATTTTGATTTATGTTCTTCCAAAACTAAAATCAAAGATTCCATCTAGTGCTATTTTATGAATCAGCTGTATTTTTTTATTTTTATGTTATTTTAAGTGATTTCCCTAACCTGGACTTTTTTAGAGGCATTTTAGTGCCCAAAAGTTCGGGTCCCAATTGACTTCAATGGGGTTCGGGGTCAAGTTCGAGCCAGAACCCGGACTTTTTTCAAAGTTCAGCCGAACCCGAACATCCAGGTGTCCGCTCAACTCTAGTTATAGTATTCAGTTGCACATAATTTGTCACAAATTAATCAGAGTATAATATAGTAGAGATTTAAAAAAGGCAAATTCTCTCACGAAGACTCCTTTCTGTCATCTAATCGTGATCTCAATGATAATGTACACTTCATTACCAGTAAAAATATGGTATAATTTTCCCTACTGTTCATACCATGTAGGGGTGCAGATTTGAGAAGATGTTTTGGACAGGTTCCATTTTCCATGATCACAAGTGGCAATAGAGATTTGTACTAAATGAAATAATAAAATGTTTGATGCTTAACTAGATTGTTTTCTGTAACATTCTAGGAAACATAGTATGTTTATTACCGCTAAGTCTATTGTAGTTTGCGCAATAGAATAAAATGGCAATAATAAGTTAGTTTAGGGAAATCAAATTATAGTGACAGTGATTTGTTTGTAACTTGTTACACTCTTTGATGTACAGTCATATATTGCATTGTCTATAAACACACATGCTGCAATCAGATTACAGATAGGTACACTGCTAAAAAGCCTTAAATGTCTTCTTTCATTTTTAAGAGTGATTATTTTTACTGTTTCATATTATATCTTGAGTTGTGATCACTGTCATAATTTTTCATACACTAATCCTCCTCCTTTGATTTAATACCTTTTTATTAACTACACTAATTATTGTAATCGTTACCTTATTTAATTTTATACTTTACATTAAATTATGAAGTACTTATTACTGTTTGACGATAGATCATTAATGTTCCGTTAGTTCTTCAGACAAAATTATACTTTCCTACAATCTTGCATAATTTGAGAGATTTGTTATAATATGTAAATCATTGCGCTATTACTACAGCTATCAAACATGTAGCTTTCATACAGGTTCTGTCCTTATCTCATTTTAATTTATGAATGACCATCAAGGGGACATTGAAATCAATGGTTGCATTTGTGCTGAGCTCAGGAAAAAAAAACTATTAAACATTTTTAATGGTCCTCATTATATATAGAATTAATTTCTATGTCAATCTTGCTGTTTTTGCAAAAGGTTGCTTTTTGACAGAAAGCATCTAGCCAGCTCAAGAAATGGGACAAGAAATAAGTATGTAACTTGGCAAAAGTACATTAACTATTGTGTCTTCCACTTAACATATATAACTAGAGATATTTTTGTATCATTCCAATGGCCCTTCAGGTGTAAGCTCACCTGCCACATCAAGACAAAACCTCTTAGGTGACTTCTTCAGCTAAAAGGTAAAATCTCTAATGAGACAGAGTGGTATTTTTTCAAAACCCTACATACTTATTAACCCTTAATATGAAGCAAATGGGATGGGCCGTGTCCACTTTTGTGGCATAAAATGTGCCTTTCAATTTAAGTCTGGTGTTGCAGCTGTTCTGATATTCAACTTTCAACTTTTGGGTACCGTTGGAAGGAAGCCCTATTATCATGGCCAGCTTTAGGGGTGTGTGAGCAGTGTGGCCACACAGGGCACCATGGCAGCAGGGGCATTAGCCAGTTGATATAGCTCACACACGCAGAGGACAGCAGTGCATAAGTAGCAGAGTTTCAAAAGCCAGGAAGGCAGGGGTGAAACTAAAAATGAGGCATGTAGAGATAAATGGGCAGCAGGGTAAAGCTATATACAGCATGAACCCATGGACTGGTCACTGCAGCACACACTGAGGGGGAAGCAGGAAGGAATCCTTGTGTGACGGTATAATCCTGTGAATCATTCACTTTTTCCCATAAAATAAAATAGCCAAGTAATCCACAGAGTAATAAATCGCTGGTATCGCCGAATAAACCACACATGAGCCAAAGCTTAATGCTGGAACAAGACTGATTTACTGGGAACAAGGGTGCTCAATTTATGCAACACATAACTCCTCCTCTGGGCCAGGCTAGATAATTGAGTTTGAGCAGCTTATCTAACACAAGTATCTACTGGCCAGAAAAGTTTAAATTTTTCACAATTCTTAAAAAGATACTTTATACATAACATATTAATAATAGCTGAGGGTGATGTGAGCAACATATTCAAAATTTGTGAAAATACATTTGGTAGTTTTAGAGTTATACCGTGTGGAAGTTTGACCGGCTCGCCACGAGATTGTAGCCGACTCAGAGTTCCATAGAATCAGAGGCAAGAGCCGGTCTCCGTTCGGATGAAATTTGCATGAAAACCGCTGAAGGTATTTTCAATCTGGTTCGTGGAGAATGCTTCACTTGTTCGTCTGTTACAAACTCCCGAAAGTCGTTCTTCTGCCGTATTTAGAAGGGGTTCGTATGGGACTTCCAGAGGGGGACTGGGTGTTCGTCAACTGCTGTGGCGAAAACTGTTCCAGGCACTCGACGACCAAGTCCCGCTGACTGCCGTTCGGGAGTTAAGATGGCCATCCGTTGGCTGTCCATTGTTCTCGCCATGTGTTCGTATGCTGAAATGGCTGCCACTCACGTGTGTGCATGTGAGTGTGACTGTCTGCCTCCAATTGTGTGTGAATGTCAACCTGTAGCTGTGTGGCTGTCTGCTTGTGTTTGTGTCTCTTTGTGTGTGCATGTGAGTGTGACTGTCTGCCTGTAAGTGTGTGTGTGTGTGTGTGTGTGTGACTGTCTGCCTGTAACTGTGTTTGTAAGTACCTGTCACAGTGCATGGGACCGTCTACCTGTAGCTGAGTGTGTGTGTGACTTATTTAGAAGAGGTTCGTATGGGACTTCCAGAGGGGGACCGGGTGTTTGTCAAGTGCCATGCCGAAAACAGTTCCAGGCACTCGAAGACCAAGTCCCGCTGACTGCAGTTCGGAGTTAAGATGGCCATCCGTTGGCTGTCCATTGTTCTCGTCACGTGTTCGTATGCTGAAATAGCGGTCACCTCGGAGCAGTAAATTAACTTGCGGTTTTCGTGCAGTTACTCAGAGCTCTAAGTTCTAATTGCTACCCAGGGTGGTCTTCGTTCAGTAAGCTGACTATTTTACCGAACAAGGGAAATTAACGAAATGAATGTAACGAATGAACAGTAATAAAGGTAATAAATCCAATGAAGAAAGTAGCAGGGAGGGAGAGAACCGAATGAGTGGAGGGTGATTCTTCACAATGGCCCCCCATTTTTCTCCCTGCTCCGGGTCCAGTAAGGCTGGCGGGACTTCCAGCCATTAGTCTGAGAGTAAGTCCGTTTGGCGAGATAGCCCATCCGCGTTCCCATTTTGCTTGCCCGGCGATAGTGTATGGTGAAGTCATAGGGTTGAAGAGCAAGACTCCACCGTAGCTAGCGGACATTCACCAGAGACCCGGTTGAGCCAAACTATAGGATTGTGGTCTGTGATGAGGGTGAAGGCACGGCCATACAGGTATGGAATCAGTTTCTTGAGTGCCCATACTTGAGCGCCGAGTAGGTGACCTCCCTGGGCAGAAGTTTCCGGCCTAGGTAGGCCACTGGGTGCTCCCCTCCATCCTCTCCCATCTGGCTCAAAACTGCCCCCAGTCCAAACATTGAAGCGTCTGTATGGACGATAAAGTGTTTGTTAGGATCTGAGGCAGCCAATACAGGAGCATTAACAAGAGCTTGTTTTAGGGCTTGGAAAGCCACCTCACACTCCGGGGGGACCACAGGACTTGCCGGGGCAGTTTCTTTTTAGTCAAATTTGTCAAGGGTTTGGCTAGGGTACTATAGTCCGGTACAAAACGCCTGTAGTAGCCGGCTGTCCCTAAGAAGGCCATGACTTGTGTCTTGGTACAGGGAGTGGGCCACTTGGCAACGGCCTCGATCTTAGCGAGCTCTGGTCGTTGCTTACCACATCCAACCTGGTGACCCAAATATTGCACCTCTGCCATACCAAAGTGGCACTTGTCAGGCTTCAAGGTCAGGCTGGCCCCCCCTAATCCTATCTAATACGGACCCCACATGCTCTAGGTGTGCCTCCCAGGTATCGCTATAAATCGTCCAGGTAGGCACACGCATAATCCTGCAGACCCTCTAATAGGCGGTCCACCATCCGTTGGAAGGTGGCGGGAGCGTTCTTCATCCTGAACGGCATAACCCGAAACTGGTATAGGTCGAACAGAGTGATGAAGGCTGACTTGGGGACCGCATCCTCTTCCAAGGGAATCTGCCAATATCCCTTGCAGAGGTGTATCGTGGTCAAGTACTTCCCCTTAGATATGCGGTCGAGCAGCTTGTCCATCCGAGGCATCGGATAAGCCTCAGTCACCGTCTTGTCGTTGAGCCGCCTGTAATCGACACAGAAGCGGGTTGTGCTGTCCTGCTTCGGTACCAAGACTACAGGTGAGGCCCAAGGACTGTCAGTGTTCTACCACTGCTAGCCGCAGCATCTCATCTATCTCCTTCCACATTCCATCCCTAACGGCCCCGGGGATGCGGTATGGAGTTTGTTTCAAGGGGGCCTGCCCTGGGGTGTCTACCTTGTGGACTGCCAGATGGGTATACCCGGTTTCCTGGGAGAAGGTGCCTTGTTTGGCTTCCAGCAGGTGGCCCGTTCTTGGGGCCCCAGCTGTTTCCCCAGCTGGACCAAATCTATATCCCTCGTCTCCCCGGCCTCTCCTAACAGGTCTGGCAAGGGTAAAGTCTCCGTGTCCTCTCCGGCTGAAGCACAGATGGCCGTCACTTCCTCAGCCCTTTCGTTATGCGCCTTGAGCATGTTCTTGTGAAAGGTCCGTTTCACATCCTCATTCTCACAGCTCGCTACTGTATATGTGATATCACATACCTGCCCTATAACTTTGTACGGGCCCTGCCAGGCAGCCTGGAGCTTGTCCGTGCGGACTGGCCTTAATACCATGACCTTTTGCCCAATCTGAAGCTCCAGTGCCTGGCTCTCCGATCGTACCATACTTTCTTGTGCTGCTGAGCCGCTTCGAGCTTCTCCCTTACTGTCTGGGCCAATTCCTCCATGCGGTCCCTCAACCCCAGCACATAGGGCACAATCGGAGTACCCTCAATCTCGGTCTGGCCCTCCCAATGATCCTTAATAAGGTCTAGGGGCCCCTCACTCGCCTTCCATACAGTAGCTTGAAGGGTGAGAATCCCATGGATTCCTGAGGCACCAACCGGTATGCAGAGAAGGTGCGGCAGGAATCACTCCCAGTCCTGGTAGGTCCCCGTGAACTTCTTCAACATCTGCTTTAGGGTGCCGTTGAAGCGTTCACAGAGACCATTGGTCTGCGGATGGTACGGAGAGCTTGTCAGGGATTTAATCCCGCAGACCTTCCATAGTTGTTGGGTTAATTCCGCAGTGAACTGCGTACCCTGGTTTTATTAAAATCTCTTTGGGGAATCCTACTCGAGAGAAAATCTTGACATGGGCATCAGCCACCGTCTCAGCGTGGATATTGGGAAGGGCCACTGCCTCGGGGGTAGCGTGTAGCTCCGGTAAGCGCTATATACTTACCACTACGGTAAGTATATAGCGCTTACAGGATCGGCTAGGCTGAGCTAGGGGTCCTACCAGGTTGACCGCTACCCTCGTGAAGGCCTCCTCGATGATGGGCATCAAAACTATCAGGGCCTTAGGGTTGTCTCCCTTCTTACCTACCCTCTGCCAAACCTCACAGGTCTGGCAATAACTCTCGGTTTAATGTCCGGCGTATTCCCAAGTGACCTGCTAGCGGGATGTCATGCCCAATCTGCAACAACTCCCGCAAGTATTTCCTCGGGACTACCAGCTGGCGTTTTTGCCAGGGTCCGGGTGCGTTAACCCAGGTTTCTGTGAACCTATACAGCCTGCCATTTTCCCAGACTAACTGTTCTCCTCCCAGCCCCCCTTGGCCTACTCTCGCCTTCTCCCTGTATTTCCATAGGGATGGGTCTCCCACTACTTCCCTCCCAAAATCCTCCGTTGTATCCCAGGGAAGGGGCTCTACCACCAGGGGCAGGGACAGTTGGCTTACCTAGGTCTCAGTAGGAGGTGGATGGCTCTCGGCAGCACGGCTCTGGGCTCTGGTGCTCACTGCTTGGGCCTCATGGGTGGGTGTGGGTACAAATGCTGAGGTTAATGGTCCAATGTCATTCCCCAATATCACTTCTGTGGGTAGTTCCTTCATGACTCCCATCTGTACGATGCCAGCTCCAGTGCCCCAGTCTAGATGGACCTGGGCTGTGGGAACATGGTAAACAGCCCCCCCCCCCGTCACTCGCACAGCGATAGAGTTCCCTGGTCATTCCCCATTATCAATAAGGTGCCTTTGAACCAAGGTGATGGTGGCACCACTATCCCTGAGCCCTCGGGCAGTCTTCCCATTCACCATCACCAACTGATAATGGTGTTTCCGGTTGTCCGTGAGCTTTGTTTGAGCAGCTTATCAAACAAAATTATCTACTGGCCAGAAAAGTTAAAATTTTTCACAATGCTTAAAAATATACTTTATACATAACATATTAATCCCATATCCCTGGGTAGCTGAGGGTGATGTGAGCAGCATATTCAAAATTCGTGAAAATCCGTTTGGTAGTTTTAGAGTTATACCATGTGGAAGTTTGACCGGCTCGCCACGAGATTGTAGCCGACTCAGAGTTCCATAGAATCAGAGGCAAGAGCCGGTCTCCGTTCGGATGAAATTTGCATGAAAACCGCTGAAGGTATTTTCAATCTGGTTCGTGGAGAATGCTTCACTTGTTCGTCTGTTACAAACTCCCGAAAGTCGTTCTTCTGCCGTATTTAGAAGGGGTTCGTATGGGACTGGGTGTTCGTCAAGTGCCATGGCGAAAACTGTTCCAGGCACTCGACGACCAAGTCCCGCTGACCGCCGTTCGGGAGTTAAGATGGCCATCCGTTGGCTGTCCATTGTTCTCGCCATGTGTTCGTATGCTGAAATGGCTGCCACTCACGTGTGTGCATGTGAGTGTGACTGTCTGCCTCCAATTGTGTGTGACTGTCAACCTGTAGCTGTGTGGCTGTCTGCTTGTGTTTGTGTCTCTTTGTGTGTGCATGTGAGTGTGACTGTCTGCCTGTAAGTGTGTGTGTGTGTGTGTGTGACTGTCTGCCTGTAACTGTGTTTGTAAGTACCTGTCACAGTGCATGGGACCGTCTACCTGTAGCTGAGTGTGTGTGTGACTTTTTGCTTTAAGTGTGTGTGTGTGTGTGTATGACTGATTGCCTGTTGCTGTGTCTGTGTAACTGTCTGCCTATAACTGTGTGTGACACTGTCTGTAATTGTGTGACTGATTGTAACTGCATGTGTGTGACTCTCTGCCAATACCTGTGACTGTGTGTGGGCGCCTGTAACTGTGTGTTTGAAACTGTGTGCGAGTGACTGTGTGTCTGGAACTGTGTGCATGTGGCTGTATTTGACAGTATGCATGCATAACTATATGCATTTGACTGTGCTTCTAACTGTGGGACTGTGTGCATGGGACCCTGCAAAAATACACCTGCATTCACTTATTTGGCTTACATGTATTTGTATCTCAATTAAATACCAATCATTAATATCACACACATTAAATACACACATCACATAATCAATACACTCATAAGAGATCACACATGGAAGCCGAGGCGCAGACTATAATTCCAGCACACTGGACCACCAGAGAACAGCATGCCCTCTACCTAAAGGGTATCAACAAGGGAGAGGTATTAAAAAAACAAGTTTTATTAATTTAATAAAACCCCAAAACAAGCACTACACTCCTATACCCACACATACACCTTATACATGGATGAGTGGGTGTGACCAGGAAAGGGCGCTGTGACGAATTTTTGCATCTCTTCTGTGTGTATTTGTAGAGATGCTTGCAAACCACAGGGTTATTATATGCATTTCAGAAGGTTTCTGCACTCGAGAGCCAACAAAATTAAATATATAACCAAGAGAAGGCAAAATTAAGTCTCAGAGGAGAGAGGGCTACATAGAGTTAATTAGAGTGAAAAGTAAACCCCTTAAAGATGGTGGGCGTACTATGCCGTCCTTGGGGATCTGGTTCTAAAGGCCGGCGGGCGGCATAGTACGTCCCTGCCGTCCTATGAACTTACCTGCTTGCCGGCGATCCCCCGCCGACGATCGCAATTGGTGGACTTGCCTGGCATTTGGACTTGCCTGGCAGATCAGAGTCCCCCTGATCCGGCCCTCCACATTTCCATGTGATCGCAATGAGGTTGCAATCACATGGACGGAATATCCGTCCACAGCAGTGTCTGCAAGGGGCCTGCCTGGAAACACCCAAAGTTAGACTGTACTGTTTTAGTGGAGGTAATAAAAGTTATATTTTACAGTAGTCCTTGGAGTGCTATCTCTGGCAATATTTTTTTATTTTTGGCTGACAGGCATTCAATATTGAATTGATGGAGTGCAAGATTTCTTTTATTTTTTATATATATATATATATATACACTATGTCTCCAAGTGTATTTTAATATGTTATTGTATATGTGTGTGTGTGTGTATATATATATATACACACACACACACACATATACAATAACATATTAAAATACACTTGGAGACATAGTGTATATATATATAAAAAATAAAAGAAATCTTGCAACTGGTTATGTTGCCTTTGAGACCAAATGGTAGCCCATTAGAGTGATATTAATTTTACATATTACAACACTGGCCAAAATTAGCGTTAAAATTAGTTTTTTTGCAATTTTCACACACAAACAAATATGAACGCTAACTTTGGCCTGTGTTTGTGACTAAGTGGCTACTAAAGACTAGGCATACCCCATTTGTAATACCTCAGGTTGTCTACCTTTGCAAATGGTATGCCATCATGGGGGTAATTCTCATTTCTGGGCTACCATTTGGTCTCAAAGGCAACATAACCAGTTTGGTAAATTTCAATGTGTATAAACTGAAAAATGTAAGTGTTATATTTGATCCTGTAATTCTTTAAAACACCATTAAAACCTGTACATTTCGGATAATGTTTTACTGGTGAGACATCGCTGAATACAAATATGTGTAATTTATTGCAGTAAGAGCTAATGGTATTATGCTATTCACAGTTAAAATGCCGTGCAGAACTAAAAAAGTAAAAATAATTCTTAATTTCTCACATTTTTTAAAATATTTTATTAATATTAAATTATGTTTCATATATAAATATTTGATATGACATGAAATCCCTGTTTTCCCTGAACAAAATGATATATAATAAGTGTGTATGCATTTAATATGAAAGAGGTGAATTCAGGTTGAACAGACACATAGTGCAAATTCAAAGTTTTGTTTATGTTTTGTTTTGATCACAACTTGTACAACTGCCTCAGGCCTTAAGGGGTTAAAAACAAAAAAGGAAAGATAGAATAATAATAAAAATAAAAATTATGAAATAAGTAAACAAAAATAGATAATAAAAATAACTAAGTATAAATAAAAAATTTTAAAAAAAGATGAGGTAAAATGACAATTAAAAATAAAAATATATAAGCATGGTATATAAAAAAAAATCATACCAAATTAAAATCTCAATACATTTCTTTATATTTGAGGTGGGTGTAATTTTAGAGTTTAGTGTAATATATTTTAGTGCATCCTCTCATGCTTTGCCAGCATTATGAGATGCATTCAATTTGTCTTTTTACAAATACTCGTCTGCTAGTCCCCTTGTACAGTGCTGTGGAACTTGTTGGCACTTTATAAATTCTACTAAATAATAAGAATAATAAGAATAATAATAAAAATAATAATAATAATAATGTAGTTCACAACATATGGAGTGCCAAAACTTGCCTAGCCCTGCTTTAGTGCAATGTGTGGGTAATGTTACAGATGGATTAGCTATGTTGAATTGTATGATCCTGCTATGAGAAAATACTGAACTGGAACAGTAGATTTCCAAGTAGAATTCAGAAATGAGTACAAAATGTGAAAATGTTGGAGAAGCATCATTTTTTGGCATGCAGCTAACATCTGTTGAGGATTGCCACCAAGTGGGCCCAAGTAAGTGGCCATTGTATTATAGTGGCTGTTGTAATATAGTTTGCCTCCTTACCAGATAATGAAGCCAGGGTACAACTGGTATCACTAACCATTACAATTGGTGTAGCCCTTGGAGTAGCAGCTATTGACAACAGTTATATTTCCTTTTTATAGTATTGCAAAAGGGAAGGACTCCACTGCTCCTATGAAATGGCATATCCTTAGAGTAAGAAGCTGTTTTTTTTCTGGTGAGTAAGTCTGATTAAGTTCGTCTCCTAAAATACTAACCTAATTAGATAGTGTAGCGGATCACGGGTAACTAGACTAGATACCTCCACTAATTCCTCCTCTCAGCCAGACTGGAACCGTTAAACATGCAAGCATGTTCAGTAACCAGATGAAACATAGCTCTGGGAGTCAACTGATTTTATTCAGGCCACACACGGCTCTTATGCACAGAGCCCTAACATGGGGTCTCCAACACAACATTGCATGGTTTTCCTTCCAAGGCTCCTTTGAGCCTGAGAGATAATAGTGTGATAAAAACTATAAGTCAATTATCTTTCAGGTACAGAAAAACCTATACAAAATATACAGTACCCCAAAAGTACCCCCATCATAACTAGGAACCCCACAAAAGTTATATGCCCGGATAGCTCTGATCTGAGTGTATAACCTGGCAAAGTATCAATCCGTTTGGTAGAATTGGATTGCCACCGGGGTAAAGTTTTGACAAGCCGGACAAGAGGTGATAGCCTGAAACCGTTCCAAGGAAATAGGTGCTCCAGCCGGTCTCTGTTCAGGGGTTCCTGTGTGAAAACCATGCAAGGGATTCTCTTGATTTCAGGGAACAAATGCTACCCCCAGTCAGTAGTACCCATCTCCCGAACACTGTGCACATGGTTGGCAAAACCTTTACCAGGTTTACAGGTGGTCCTCATTCGGTAGTCGAATGTTGAGTGTTCAGATACAATAACTCCTGAACGGATAAAAGATAAAAGATCCAAAATTAGTGGTATGTTCCGCCACTCAGCTCCCCCTTAAAGACAAGCCGGCGTACACAGTCTGAGCCTCTCGGAACGGCTTGGGGATGTCCTGGGAGTACTCACAGATCACTTATCCAGTTCTGTTTGTCATGATAAGCCATCGGCATTCCCATTTTGCTTCCCAGGCCGATAATAAATGGGGAAAGTCGTATGGCTATAATGCCAGGCTCCAACGTAAAAGCCTGCCGTTATCTCTAGCGACCTGGTTAAGCCATACCAACAGGTTGTGATTCATGAGTAAGGTGAATTGTTCGCCATAGATGTATGGCTGCAGTTTTTTTAAGGGCCCACACAACCGCCAGCTCACCTCCCTAGGCAATAGCTTTCTGCTGAGGTAAGCTACTGGATGTTCTCTGACATCGTCCCCGACCGGGCTCAGCACTGTTCCCAATCCAAACATGGAGGCATCTGTGTGGATAAGAAAACATTTATTTGGATTAGGAGTGGCCAGAACTGCCATACCTATGTGGAACTTGCTGGGCTTCAGTGCTAACCCTGCCTCTCTAATCTTGTCTAGCACGGCTCCTACATGTACCAGATGATCCTCCCAAGTGTCGCTGAATATGGTGATGTCATCCAGGTATGCACAAGCTAATCCTGGAGACCATTCTTTTGAAGTTGACTGGGGCATTCTTCATTCCGAATGGCATTACCTTGAATTGGTATAGACCATACGGAATGACGAATACCGATTTAGGGGTAGCAACTGCCGCTAAAGGGATTTGCCAATACCCCTTACATAACTCGATAGTATCCATCCTATCCAAGAGCTTGTCTATATGAGTCATGGGGTACACATCTGAGTCTGTTTTGTCATTGAGCCTCCTATAGTCAATACAAATCCGGGTGGTTCTGTCGCGTTTTGGAACTAGGACAACCAGGGAGCCCAAGGACTCTTAGATGGTTCTATTACCCCCAACCGGAGCATCAATTGGATCTCCTGCCTCATATTTTCCTGAACTGCCTCTGGGATTTTATATGGAATTTGCCATAGAGGTGTTTGGTCCAGAGTCTCTACTCTATGGGCAGTGAGTGAGGTGAATCTGGGTAAGTTGGAGAACGTATCTGGCTTTGCTGACAGCATCTGTTGTGCTTGCCTGCGTTCTTCACTGGTTAACCGGTCCCCTAATTGGACCTCATCTTTGGACCCTTCCTGAACTCCATTCTCTAGGAGATCAGATAGGGGAAGATTATCAAAATCTTCCGAGGCAGGAGCACTGATGGTGGCTAAGTTCTCTGTCCGCTCATTTTAGGGCTTCAGCATGTTAACATGTAACATGCATTGGACTCCTTCACCAGAGCATGGAACAATAACATAGGTAGTGATACTTTTCTGTTCTACTACCCGATATGGGCCTTGCCAAGCCGCCTGTAGCCTGTCATTTCAGATGGGTTTCAAAACCAGAAACTTTTGTCCAAATTGAAAGCTACGTCTCCTGGCTCCTCCATCATACCATGTGCACTGGCGCTCCTGGGCCGCTCTGAGGTTCTCACGCACTAACTGAGTGAGTTCCTCCAGTCTGTCTCGAAGCTCCAGCACATATGGAATGATCGGGATCCCCTCCTGATCTACCTCTCCCTCCCAGTGTTCTCTCACTAGGTCAAGGGGTTCTCTTACACTCCGCCCGAATAATAACTCGAATGTAGAGAAGCCTGCAGATTCTTGTGGCACCTCCTGATAAGCGAACAGGAGATGCGTCAGGAATCTTTCTCTGTTCTTGTGCTAGTCACTGCAAACGTACAAAGTATCTGCCTTAACGTGCCATTGAAACGCTTGCACGTTAAAGCAGGCCATTAGTCTGGGGGTAATAGGGGGAACTTAATGCAGCATACCCTCTGTCGTGTTCTTGGAGGGGGCTGCTTGCCCGCCTCCTACCTTCTGACTCTGGCCCTGGGATATATGGCATTTGAAAACACTATTTGTGCCCTATGACAAAACTGGAGATTGTGCACAAATATGCCTATTGTCCATATTTTTTATGATTCCCTTAGTTTGTTGTACTGTTCCCCGTGTGTTTCATCTGTTGGTTCGGCTGGATAGACTATCAGACAAACTGTGGAGTTACTGGGTGGCCACCATTTCATGTATCAGAGGCACATGGTGAGAACAATGGATGAAGCACATGGTGAGAACAATGGATGGCGGCCATTTTAACTCAGACACTGTTTTGACTTTTCTACACGGTGCCATCTCGACGGTATTTGGTGCACAAAGACATCGTTCAGTAGTTTTAAACAGGGAACACATTTAACAGTAATTATATTTCATATAGCCTGTATATGTTCTGCGGAATCTGCATTAAACCGTATCTTCCAAACTACTGAACGGATCTGGGTGAATTTTGGATATGTGGTTCACCCAGATCCCCCGGTTCCGAGGATATATTTTTATATGGGGTTATTGCATGTTTTGGGGTCCCTGTGATATGTTTTATAATACTGTATTTTCCTGCCTGTGATAATTAAGTCAGTCTATTGTGTTGAGATAATTGTATCACAGGCAAAGGGGAGGATTTCTGATGTTATGAATGGGAGTGTTAGCTGTG